CTGAAACAAGCCCAAACTTGTTGCTCAAGGGTACAATAATAAAATTAAAGGAGTGGAATTTGATGAAACATTTGCTCCTGTAGCTCGTTTGGAATCTATCAGACTACTACTAGGAGTGCATGTCTCTTAAAGTTCAAGTTGTTCCAATTGGATATTGAGAGTGCATTCTTAAATGGATATTGAAATAAAGAAGTATACGTTGCACAATCAAAAGGATTTGTATATCCTTCACTTCCAAATCATGTGTTCAAACTGAAGAAAGTTTTGTATGGATTAAAGAAGTCCCTAAGAGCTTGTTATGAAAGGTTGACTGTGTTCCTTGTTAACCATGGATATAGAAAGGGTGGAATTGACAAAACTCTTTTTGTCAAAGAGAAAGATGAAAAACTTATGATAGCACAAATCTATATGGATGATATAGTATTTGGAGGCATGCCTAATGAGATGGTCCAACATTTTGTCAAACAGATGGAGTATGCAAAGAAAATGGAAGACTTGACTTTTTTTTGTCAAAGTAAGTATGCAAAGAATATTGCGAAGAAGATTCGAATGGAGAATGCCAGCCATAAGAGAACTCCTCCTCCTACACACTTTAAACTATCCAAAGATGAAAAGCGAGAAAGGGTTGATCAAAGTTTATATCGAAGCATGATTGGTAGTCTTCTATATCTTATAATAAGCATACTAGATATAGCATGCGATTGGATTTTGTGCTAGATATCAAGCAGAACCTAAGGAAAGCCACATCAATCAAGTCAAAAGAATTCAGAAGTATGTGAATGGTACATGTGAGTATGGAATGATGTATTCTCATGACTCAAGGTTAGTACTTGTGGGGTATTGTGATGTTTATTGGGATGGTGGTGCTGATGATAGAAAAAGTACCTTTGGTTGATGTTTCTTCTTGGGAAATAACTTGACTTCCTGGTTCAGTAAGAAACAAAATTATGCATCTCTATTTACAGCTGAAGCCGAGTAAATTGCTGCAGGTAGTAGATGTTCTCAACTTGTTTGGATGAAATAAATGTTGTCTGAATATAATGTCACATAAGATGTCATGACTTTATTCTGCATCAACTTAAGTGCTATTAATATCTCCAAGAATCCTATTTTGCATAGTAGGACTAAGAACATTGATATCAAGCATCACTTTATTAGAGAACTTATTAAAGACAAAGTGATAACTCTTGAGCATGGTAGCATTGAAAATTAGATTGCCCATATTTTTACTAAAGCCTTGGATGATGTACAGTTTTAAAAATTAAGAGGGAAGTTTGTCATCTGTATTTATGAAGACTTATATCAACTACTGTTATAGGTGTGGGTCAATAAAATCCTTAAAACATACCACCTAGACCATGGTAGATTATTGGTCATTGATAGTGTTCATAAAGCTTCTCAGAAGATGACCTTGCTAAAAAGAGGAGTGATGCTGAAGCATGATTATTGGTTCTAGGATTTTATTTGGTTTTGCTTTGTGATGTTGTTCATTTTAGTTTATGACTTTGTAAGGGTTTACTGTGGTTACTTTTTCTTAGTTACCTTTGTCATATTATATCTAAAAAGTGGGTGTAATGTATGTGTGATCTAACCATTAACTATGTTGGCCGCCTTGAGGGGGAGAATTTTGATTCTCTGCATTGCTGCCATTGAGGGGCAAATATGTCATGTCAGACAAAATGTCCTGACATCTATCTGACTGATTGAGAATTTATTTTTATCAATGTTGTTATACATTCAATTTCAACTAACCTTTATGATTCTGCTGTTGTGACTTTGTGTGTGTATTTGATTTATTTCCAAACATTTCTTTTGGAAACTGAACTATGGTTTGTTAATTTGTTTTAGCCAAAATTTGTCAAAGAGGGAGATTGTGAATTCTTAAATTTTACGATTGGAATTAATTTTTGTAAAACTAATTTGTAATAACTTGTTTAATAGGATGTTCTAAACTTGCATTAAGAACATGTCACACACAATGTCCTATCCAACTCATCTGACATCTTGCAAGTTACAGCTATTTCACTTGGAGTTTTTATGATTTATTAGATCCTGAATATTATGGGAATGTTATGATATTGTAGGTGTCTTCCAAGATTGAAAAAAATGGGATTGTTGCTGATTTGAAGATAAATTTGTTTCGCTAAATGTTGAGACATTTAGGAAACAAATCATTGAAGTTCTATTTTCATGCAAAAGTCTCTGCTGATTTTCTACAACAAATCAGTTGCGTTTTGAAGGTCCGTTCAAGGTTATAAAAAGAAGACTTCAACCCTAGTTAATGTGTGGAACTTACGTTGTATTGTGCTAGGGTTTTATGCATGTTTATTGTGAGCCTCTCCGACATCATCTTGGTAAAATAGTAGGAGTGTTCTTTGTGTTATAAGTTCTATCAATAATTCTAAACCTTTTAAGCAGTGAATAATTGTGTGTCTTTGAAGTATGTCTTCAAAAATTATTCTGAGGGATTTGAGAGTTTTTTAGAGTTATTAAGTCACTATCTGTGATTGAAAAGGATTTCAGAAGGGTCTAATACTTAGGTGAGTCTTAGGTAGAAGTTAAGCACGAGTAGTGATTAAGTGAGTATATCTTAAATTAGTAAGAGTTTTTGTATGGGTCTACAAATTAATACTGTCTAGTTGACTTTATCCCTGGCCTGGTAGTCTCCAGACGTATGTGTTGTTGTACACCGATCTGGGTTAATAATTCAGTGTGTTTTTTATTTTCCGCACCATTAACCTTGTTTAAAATTGTTCGTTGTAGTATTGTTCTGACATCAGTGTCTCAATATCTCTAAGGACATTTGAGATCTGATTGCGAGAATTTCAGAAACCGAAGAAAAAAAGAGTGAAAAAACTTGGTTGAGACTTTTCATCAAACACCTTGATTGCAAGATGGAAAACTCTCTAGTTTGAAAGCAATTGGTAATAAGAATAGAACATTAATCAACAATAATACCAACACAACAACAATTCTGCAATTTCGAGAACCGCAGATCCGACACCATAATTGAAACTTTATCCGACGAGTCAAACTATGGGTGGCGAATTCTCCGTGCGCAGAGTCTCCGTCAAGTGGTGCAGTTCCTATGACAAGTGAGTCCATTGTCGTTATCTAAACCCTTAAATGCACCAAATCTGTGGAAAAAATAGAGATTTGGGGCTTGTAATACATTGATTGTAATATATTGTATTGGATTGAGAAAAGGAAGAGACCTGAATTTCAATATTACAAGAATTAGAGGTATATTTATGTGTTGTGTCATCATTGTAGAATATCTCCGGCAATGTAACCAACTCCGACCTCGAACCCATTGCCATTATCAAAATCCTTAAACGTCACAGTACCTCACATTTATGGTGAGTGCAAAGAGATAAATTGAAGGGGAAAAGAGTAGAAAACTATGTTTTTCCTTCCGTATTTGCTCTTCTCCGTGTTTGTGTTTCATAATCCCTATTTCAAAAAAATTACGTTCTTCATATTGTGTGTTTGTTAATGATGCAGGCGAATACAATAGGTTATATTTATTTAGATTATTAATTTAATAAACTTATACCCTATAATGAGACAACTAAGATTTAATAAAATAGATTGTAGTTTATAAATGTGTTTAGATTAATATTTTGAGTTATAAAATTAAATAATTTTTTTTGTCTATTTAAATTTACACCCGTTTTAAATTTAACGGGAGTAATTGAGATCGATTTATAGTAATATTTTTATTTTATACCCGTTTTTAAAGAATATGGTGTAAATTATCATGTGCTAATACTTAAAATGACACTTTATTTACAAAATTACCACCGCATTTTTTGTTTACACCCGTTTTTAATATATCAAGTGTAAATTTTAAAATTATATTTTTTTTTATAGTAGATAATTACCGATCAACTTCCAAAATATAGTGCGATATTTGAAAACTCCGATTTTTTGAGGATTTAGACCGTGGGTCTGGTTGCTCTAACCTAAATCTGACCCTATAATTCCTTGCAAAATACTTAAACAAAGTCTATACTTCCATCGTTGGCTATGACCATAGCTTTTTGTTAATTAGGAGCCAATTAAAAATGTTAGTATATTGCATGCTTGCCTTCGAAAATACTTACATTTAGACCATTGCATGTTGTCTCTTTTGCAGAATTTTTCATGCACCAACAAAAATTATCACACATATTTCTTAATCCTATACTATACATCAAATTATTTAGTTGTATATGTTACTAATTGACATATTGAGATAAAGCACTTAGTGTATGGCAACACATTTAGATATTCACATTCAAAGTATCAAAATGAAAAGAAAAGAAAAAAGACCTTAATATATGTTAGGATATGACACCTTAATATGAATCTAATGTAAGTTCGGATATGACACCTCTATATAATGTGTTATCGAATGAGTATAACATTGTTAGGAGTTGCATCCCTGCTGTCAAAGGTGCAACCAAAAAGATAAGAGCAATTAAATACGATATAATTTCCAAAGAGAACCATAAGCATAATACCATGCAAATACTTGTAAACAGAGTCTAAACAAGCATTAGTTGTGACAACAATCACAATAAAGACATTATTGATCTTCAAAATTATACTACAAACAAAATATAATTACTTCAAATTTATCTGACTACCAAACATGCATTTTATTACGTATCTTATAGTAACTAATTTGTGGCCATACTGAGGTTTGAATGCACATGTGTATATATATACAGGCTTGGTTCATATGTGCATTAATTTTGGGCCTATAATATATGAAAATAATTGAGTTTAAGGTTATTTATCTCAATGAGGAAGAATAAGTAAAATTAGTTTATGGTTATTCATCAATTAGTTTTAATTTTATTGAATGTGAGCAACTCTAAATTTCAAAGAAAAAAAAAACATATGTAAAATTAAGTGCACAGATAATTAGAGAAATAAGTTATTATTGATAATGTTCGTATCATCAACTTTTAATTTATGATGATATTACATCTTTAATTTATTTAAAATATAAATTAATAGCCACATTTGCCACCCGGTCCTCCAAATTGAAGACAATATCCATACGGGTTTGGTTGTCTACCATAGTACTCAACTCCAAAGCACTTAGGAACATCATTGAAAACTCTTGCTGCATAATAACTAGGTCCATAATATTGAGAATTAGTTGCATTTTTATATCCAATATTTAGAAAATAACATGCATGTGCAAAGTTCTTATCAGGAAAGTATCCAGATCCCATTTTAGGGCTAGGATCACCCATAGCTATTGTCGCTCCACCCCATCCCACTTGAGCAGCTTCTTTTAAGTTGTTGAATAATTCTTGTGGATAATATCCTATTGTTTCATTTAAAATGGATAGCCACCAATTTTTAGATTTGGCGTCTTGATAAATAGCAACTGGCATCTCATATATTTCTCCACCGTAAACAGATACTGATCGTATAGGTACACCAAGGTAATATTTACCGTGGATTTGAACAAAACCTTGACATTGTAAATTGTAGCATCCTGTCTTAACATAATCATCTGACTGTCATGATTAAAGAAATGAAACAATTAAAATAATTATCAAATTGTCACATAATTAGCGGTTGAGAATAAAATAAATAAGTTATCACTTACCGTCCATGTTGCATAAATATATGAGCGATCATCACCATATAAATGGGGAAATACCTGACAAAAATTGGCAAGATAAATCAGTAGTCTTTTTTATACCAAAATAAAATTGATTAATAGGACAATTTCATTGTTATAAATATAATAAATATAAACTCACATGCCATCCAACACTAATTTCATTAACAGCGCCGCCCTCTCCATTGCGGACATACGCATTAGACATGCTAGCTTGATTAATACTACACTCTGGTTTATAAACACTAGTAGTTCCCCTTACGCCATAATAATGTCCTCCACGAACATATACTTCCGCTGTCTACAAATTCAATTTAAATCAAAATTGAAATATTATTGACGGAATATTAAAATATATAAAGATATAAAAAATTTGTTTTAAAATTTAAGACTAATTCAAAACATTTAAAATAACATTGTTAACGAGAAAAAACTCACATGAGCTTCGCGTTTAACCAAAGTAGAATTATTCAATAAAATTTTAGCACAAATGAGATCTTCTTTTGTTGTTCTTCGTATTGGAACAGATCCTTTAGGACAATCGACTATGTCAGGTCTAAATCTAGTTTTAATTGATGAAATATTCAAATTTTTTTCCTCATTTTTTGAATAAAAACTTGGTCGCATCTGTAACAAAAGAAAAATAAAATAAATCAACATTAAAATATGCATCTTATAAGATAGATAAATTAGCTAAATTGAAGAATATACTACCTGTAATTTATGATTCTTTAATAACGGATGATCAAATGCAGGTTGTTTTTTAATATCAACACAATCAACTATGTATCCAAACTCTGTCTATAAAAACCATAAAAATAAAATATAAGAAAGATTATATTATACATGGAGGATAAAAAACACTAACTAAATATATGAAAATAATACCTCAATACTTCTGATAGGAGGCTTATTAATAAGCTTTAGATGTCTCTCCAACTCAAATTCTTCTTTCAAAGTAATATCATTGCCATCAACACTATGGCTTGTAACAGTAGTTGAAAACAACATCACTAAGAAGAATATCATGTTGCTCATTTTTTCAATTTTGTTATCAAACAAAGTTGCTTGGTGATCTTACTGTAATAGTATCACCAATTTATATATCATTAAAGTAAAAGTCAATTACCGAAATTAATTATAATTGATGTCAGATAATATCTATTATTTAATATAGTAAAATTTCCTTTATCCATTTTAAAATAAATATTTTTTCTAATAAATAATATATCTAATGTATATTTGATCTAAATACATTGTGTATTCAACGAATCTAAAATAAAGTTTATCTTGTAATAAAGATTGAAGGGATTGAAGGGATTAATATACATTGTCAAGGGATTGAAGGGCTTAAAATGAATCGATTTGTATTCGACTCGTTAAAAATTGATTCAACTAAAATCTCCATTCGAATTCAACACAAACTTACTTACATTATCTAGAATGATAATATCAATATTATCAAAGATGTGACGAATCAAATCATTCTTAGTTTTATTAATATTAATTTGCTCAATGATTAATCTTTAAAAAAGAGAAATAATTTGTCATACTACCTTATGCTTATTATATAAAAAGTTAATTTTTTAGATAATTAAATAACTAATTGTTCTGGACTGGGCCCGACAGGCCCAAAAGCATTACTAAGACCCAGTCCAAAGGGACTTACTAAGGACCACACCGGGTAAAGGGGGTCACATCCATGTCCGACACCTTGATGTCCACCTCGACATCCCGATGTCCAACTCCACGCGGTGAAGTCGTGCTCGACACCCTGCCGTCCAGCTCCATATCCTGGCGTCCAGCTCGACACCCGCTGTCCAGCTCGAGGTCCTGGCGTCGAGCTCGACACTGTGCTGCCCAGCTCGACATAGTCTCGAGCTACCCGGCTAGGGCAGACTCAGTCCACCGCTCCCCCAACGATACTCCGGAAAGACCGCGTCTCCGTCCGCCCGCACTTCACGCAGCACATCCAGGAAGGGGACCACGTGCGGGTCCCCACTACCCACGTAGAACCTGGCAGTTCCTCCATTGGGCCAAATCCGCCCAGCCCAATGAAGGAACCTTGGCCCAGCGCTGGGGGCTATAAATACCCTCTGTTTCCAGAGGGTCAGGTATTCATCACTCTAACCTCAACTCTATTATCTGCTCGTACTCCCACTGACTTTAGCATCGGAGTGCCTTGCAGGTACCCCCCCTCCTCGTTCAAAAAGCTTTCTGCTCGGAGCCAGCCGTGACGGTCCAAACCTTCTGATCAGGTCAGATCAGTGGCGCCGTCTGTGGGAAACAGCTTCCCCGTCTAACGAACAATTCCAAAGACCAAAGCTCAATTCAATTACCTATCATGGCTGATCCAGCTCGTGAAGAACAGCACGTCCGCGTCACCGACACCAACAACGGTCCCGCGGACAAGAATGGACACCTCGACAATCTCGGTGATCCCGGCCACAATGCCACCCCTGCGACAACCGCCCCTGGACCTTCCACCCGCAGGGACGGGAACACTGCGTCTTCCTCGACGACCCCTCCAGCACTCGAAGACGACCCGGAGGCTCTCGCCTATCGCCGAGCTGCTCGGTTCTATGAAGTCCAAGTCCCTGCCGGGGCAGATGCCACGACTCAGGCACTGTTCGCGGCCATCAACCAGACAAATTATCTCCTATTCGCCCAAGGAGAAAGACTAAGGGCACTTGAAAATGATCGACGACCCCCGAGGAGGCATCAGAGGCTACCATCTCCACCTCCTCGGGTCGAAGAAGTTCGACACCCTACTCCCCCGCGGAGACACTACAGGGAGAACTCTAGGAGCCCCTCTCCCCGACCAAAGCAGAGGCGGCCCCAATATGAGAGACATCCCGTCATCCCAACCGAAGAACCCAGTCGCGACCCATCAAGGCACGACAGGAGGCACAACAGAGACGGGCGTGTGACCTTCAACCACCGAGCATCACGCTCGAGGGAATCTCAGCACGACCAGCGTGCCAGACATAACTACAGGACCCCTTCTCTTTCTCCGGAGAGGAGCGACGAGGACGACCCCCGCGGTCCCCTGTCGCAGGCCATCATGGACGCACCTATTCCCCCGAGCATGGAGAAGCCCCCACATCTGAAGGAGTATGATGGAGTGGCGGACCCAGTCGACCACATTGACGGGTTCGAAGCCATGCTCCACTATCATAATGTCGGGGGGCCCATCAAGTGTCGTCTCTTCCCCACAACTCTCAGGAAGGCGGCCATGGACTGGTATAAAGGACTCGCCCCGGGCTCCATCACCTCGTGGCGGAACCTGAAGAACCAGTTCATCAGTTCCTTCACAGCTTCTCGGCGCCACCCGAAGACCGAGGCGGCCCTCGAGGCCATCATCCAAAGACAGGATGAGACCTTGAGGGAATTCATCAACCGCTTCAACCGGGAAGCAATACAGGTCCCCTGCGCGGAGCATATGAAAAGGTACTTGCTGGAGAGGGGCCTCCTCCCCGGCACAGAATTCAGAAAAGCTGTGGGCATTGAGCCACCTGCAACTTTTGATGCTCTCCTCGACAAAGCCCGAGCATATATGGACTACGAGGAGAGAGAAGCGGCCAACAGGGCACGAGACTCCAGGGCTCGCAATCATGGCAGCAGCTCGAGACAAGACCCTCCTCCCCGACGGACCGAAGAGAAAAGGAAGGAAGATCGACCCCGGGAGGTCCGGGAACAAAGGGGCCCCTCGGGCCGTTTCACCGAGTACACTCCGCTCACGGCTTCCCGCGAGCGTATTTTGGCGGAGTGTGCTAGCACAGATTTTAAAGACGGTGGCGTCAAGCGTCCCCGACCAGCTCCTGCCAAGCCAGGAGTAGACAAAAATAAATACTGTCAGTACCATAGGAGTCATGGTCACTTGACAGAGGACTGCGTCCACCTGAAGGACGCCATTGAAACCCTCATCAAAGGAGGGAGGCTTGCACAGTACAGGCGAAACGACGCTCCCCGTCGTGACGCCCACGAAGCAAAGGAGCCCGAAGAAGATGCCCGACCATCTGACGAGTCGGTGCCAATCCAGACCGCCTTCTCGGTAACCAGGCCCGAGGATTTCGAACTTCCCGAGCTCCTACAGGAGCCCCTGACGACACACAGCAGGTGGGAATACTTCCCCTCCGCCATGGTCATCAACGGGGGCAGGTTCAACGACCTCACCATCAACTCAGCCAAGAGGAAGTTGGACGAACTGGTCGACGCAGCTCCTCCACAAACTGTGACTTTCGAAATAGTGAAGGGCAGATTAGAGCCCATCACCTTCTACTTAGAAGAGCTCCCCGGCGGAGCCCCGAACGCAGTCATCCCCTTGCTGATAAGGGCAAAGATGGCCAATTTTGACGTGCATCGCATCCTGGTCGACGAAGGGAGTTCTGTCGACGTGATGTACACCCAGCTGTTCCGGACCTTGCAACTGGATGACTCACATCTGTCTCCGTATATAGGTTCGGACCTTCAAGGCTTCAACGGCTCGACTTCCAAACCTTGGGGATATGTCGAGCTCCTCGTGACGTTCGGGGAAGGAACTGCTACAAGACAGGTGAAGGTCCTCTTCCTCGTCATTGACTGCCCGTCCCTATACAATTGCATCTTGGGGAGGCCGACATTGGCGGAGCTGACAGCGGTCCCCTCAACTGTCCATCTAAAAATGAAGTTCTATACCAAAAGGGCGAGGGTAGCCACCATCCAGGGCGACCTCGCCGCTGCCCGCAGGTGCTTCAACGCCGCTTCAAGAGGACGGGATACCGTCGACGTGGGAACTAGCACCAGACCCATCAAGAAGACAAAGCAAGAGCCCGACAGAGCATCTCCCGAGGTAGAAGTTCAGAAAGCTCCACCAAAGGTCGACTCCATAGCCCTCGACGCCCGCTTCGACCAAGACGAGCCATCCAGCAGCGAGCAAATCCCCCTCCGACCTATTCCGGACGGCGATTTCGAACTCGTTCCCCTCGGAGCAGACCCGACCAAGGGAGTGAAGATTGGCAAGGACCTCCCCGACTTGGCCAGGAAGCAAATCAAGGCCTGACTGCGCGAGAATGCTGATCTCTTCGCCTGGAGCGCTGCAGAGATGCCCGGACTCGACCCTGAGGTCGCCTGTCATCACCTTGCCATTGATCCAGCCGCCAAGGCCGTAGTACAACGTAGGCGTAGGCAGTCTCCAGAAAAAACAGAGGCTGCTGAAAAAGCTGTAAAAGACCTCTTAGAGGCAAATTTTATTTCTGAAGCCCGGTACTCCACCTGGCTGTCAAATGTTGTACTTGTTAAAAAGAATAATGGAAAATGGAGAATGTGTGTTGACTATACCGACCTCAACCAGGCTTGCCCGAAGGATGCTTTTCCTCTACCTAACATTGACATGCTGGTCGACAATTCGGCCGGCTACAAGACTTTGTCGTTCATGGACGCCTACTCGGGATACAATCAAATCCCAATGGCCCTGGGCGACAAACGCTGCACGGCGTTCATGACCAGCTCGGGCAACTATTACTACAATGTAATGCCCTTCGGACTGAAGAACGCCGGCGCGACTTACCAACGCATGATGAACAAAGTATTCAACAAACAGATCGGCGACATGCTCGAGGTATATATGGACGACATGATCGTCAAATCTCGAGCAGACACCGATCACGCAGCTCATCTCAAGACAGTCTTCGCCCAAGCAAGACAGTGCAAAATGAGGTTCAACCCCGAGAAGTGCACGTTTGGGGTTAAGGCAGGAAAATTCCTCGGATTCTATCTAACAGAGCGAGGGATTAAAGCCAACCCCGACAAGTGTCGAGCATTCGCCGACCTCCCGACTCCAACGTCGAAGAAGTCGATACAGATCATGAACGGCATGTTGACGTCACTATCACGCTTCGTCGCGAAGTCCGCTCAACACGCCATCCCCTTTTTCAAACTCCTTCGAAAGGAAGCAGCCTTCGAATGGACCGAGGAGTGCGAACACGCACTTCGCCATCTGAAGCAGAGCCTGTCTCAACCGCCCGTGTTGTCTCGACCATATGACGACGAGCCACTAT